AAAGGGAGTGTCCAGCCTGCCTCAGCGGCCACACCAAGTGCCCTGAGAACCAGTGTCTGAGAAAATGGACTGAGACAGTGTCTCAAACTGAGATTCATAAATTTTCAGGGCTGGAGATAGGGCTCAGTCTGGAGAGTGCTTGGCTAGCTTTCATGAAGCCCTATGTTTGATCTTCAGAGCAATATAAACCAGGAGGGATGCATTAGGCTGTACACCCAGAACTTGGTAGGTGGAGGCAGGAGAAGCAGGAGTTCAAGGTCATCTTTGGCTCCATAGCAAGTGTGAGGCCAGCCTGAGCTACAGGAGAGACATTGCCTCATTCAAACAAACAAACAAACAAACAAACAATAAAAGAAATCAGAACTACACTATATCTCAAATACTGTGTCTCCTGGAAGAACTGATTTTATTTTTGTTATTTTTTGTTGTCTTTCCCTCTTCATTTACTTCGTTTGAGACAAGGTCTTACTATGGCCTCAATCTTATGATCCTCCTGCCCTGCCTCTGCTCCCAAGTACAGGCACAGTGTACCATACCTAACTTTGCCCCCAACACACACACACACACACACACACACACACACACACACACACACACACTTCTTTTTTCCTTCAGTGCCAGGAATTCAACCTAGGACCTCCTCCATGACTAGTAAGTACTCTACCACTGAGCTACACCCTCAGCCCCTGGAATAAATAACAGAATCTCCTGTGTCTAGTGAATCCTGGATGGGCATACAAGGTGCTGTGCTGAAGACAGATTCCTGGTAACGTGAATAAATTGATGGAACAGCCGAGGCACCCTCGGATACAGGCTGGAACCGAAGCTCTTTTCCTTTGCTGCCCAAGCCATCACCATGTTTATTTCATAGCATGTTTTATGAGATCCTGCTCATGTGAAAACATTCCATTTCGAGTAAATAGACCTTTGAAACCTTGGGAAAGAACGTCTAGGGTCTATACTACAAGGAAAGGCCACCACGGGTTCTCAGTTTGCTTTTTATACAGACCAATTTTGTAGGACATTTGTGGAATCTTTTCAAACGTCTATGCATCATTGTCTTTGTATCTTTGTCTTAATTTCTTATTTAGATCTCGTGTCTGATAAAGATACACAATGCCCCCATGAGACTTAAATTGGAAAGAAAAGGAAACCAAATTGCACAGACCATGACGGTTTTAAATCCCCAGGGACTGATTATATTTGATTAGTGCCCAGATGTGGCTATTTGTGCTGTGAAGATGTCACGGTCTGAAGACGAGAACATCTTGATGTGTGTACCGCTTGCCAGGCTCTGAGCCTGTCTCCCAAATGGGCCATGACTCCTGGTAAGTTCCCTCCCAAGGTGGCTCTCTCTTCACAGCCAACACTGCCAAGTCCTGGTTATCCTACCTCCCAGAGAGGGTGACAGTTCTTGATCAGTGACTAACCCAGGGATTCTTCACTATATCATTTTTGGCTCCCCTAAGCCCCGTTTAACCTTATAAACCATCCTCTCATTAAACATTCATTAGGTTTCTTAGGTGAAGTTACCTTCTGCAGATGGAGTTCCATTTTTATGAAACTACTAGGCAATGCATTCTTACTCTTCCCAGACTGAGACATAGCAGGAATTAGCAATTTGAAGGGAAGGGTATGTCGGTCCGTCATTTAGGTTTCAGGAGCCAAGAATAAGGTAGATACTACTTTCAACTTGCATACCCATGTGGGATAGAACCCAGAACAATGTACATCCAACCATGGGTGCAATTTCCAGGGTAGCCTTTGCTTTGCAGCATTAAACAGCAGAGACAGTCAGCAGGTCAGATGACAGCTAATGCGGCCTCAGTATCTGTTCTTTGTTCATAGTTATTAGGGCTGGATGCAGCTCATGGACCAGGAGAAACAGGAGGAGTGTTTGAATAGAGAGAGGAGGATCCATTGCGGCTGGGGATAGAGCCCAGGCTGGCAGGAAACTCCTGAACCTCCTATCTAAGCCTCCTGAGTGCTGGGATTACAGATGTGCACTGCCACACCTGGAAACAATAATCTTAAGGTTCTTAATGTGAAATTATTGCACATCATGAAAATATAGTCCTCAAAGGAAATAAAACTAGTATGTGTCATCCTCAGTACGACAGGAACCTGTTGTATATGGTTGTTAAAACAAGGGCAGAGACTGGGTGTGGTGGTGCATGTCTTTAATCCCAGAACACACATCTCACTAAGTAAATAATAAAGGAAACAAAGGTGTAATACTGTGTTTTAATTTTTTATCTTTTTGTTGTTGTAGAGACAGACCCAGATTGATCTCAACTTTACTATGTAGCTGAATGACCTTGATATATTAATTATATATGTATATATGTACATATATTATGCTTTATATCTATATGATGTCTGTGTGAAGGTGTTTGTGTGCACTGTAACCCTATGGGGTTAGAGGACAACTTGCAGGTATCTATCCTCCAAGGATTGAACTCGGCCTGTCAGACTTTGTGGCAAGCACATTTAACATCTGAGGCATTTTTAAGGGCTGACCTTGAACTTCCGACCCTCCTGTATCCTTCCTCTGAATGCTAGGATTGCAGGCATGGATCCCCACACCCCGCTGTGTGTAGTGGCCATGCTGGACAAGCACTCTACCAACCTAGCTATACTCTCAGTCCTGAGTTTTCATCTTACTGGATTGAATATTTGCTTAGGTTTTAACAGACTACAAACATCAGTTTCTGTGAAAAGAAGTTCTCAGGTCCCATTTCAAAACTTCAAATAGTATTTCTCTGGGTACCTGGACTTTAAGAGTTTTTTTTTTTTTCCTTCTGAGATATGGTTTCTCTGTGTAGCCCTGTCTGTCCTGGAACTTGCTCTGTAAACCAGGCTGACTTCCAGTTCATGGAGATCCCCCTGCTTCTGCCTCCTCAGTGCTGGGACTAAAGGTGTGCACCCCCCCAGGCTTAATACTGCTTTTAAAAAAGATTTATTTATTTATATTTTTAATTTATGTGTGTGTGTGTTTGTATGCTACATGTGTGCAGTACTCATGGTGTCCAGAAGAGGGTGTTGGATCCTCTGGAGCTTGTGAGCTCCCAGATGTGGGTACTGGGAACTGGACTTGGATCCTGTGGAAGACCAAGAAGTACTCTAAACTACCAAACTGGCTCTCCAGTCCCAAGATTTTTCATCCTTCTTAAAATCAGAGTCGTGTGTGTGTGTGTGTGTGTGTGTGTGTGTGTGTGTGTGTGTGTGGTGTGTGTGTGTATTACATCTGCTTAATGATGATCACAGTGCATAAAATTTTGGAAGAATGAGTGAATGATTAGTGGATTAGTATTAATTTTTAATGAAGTCTCCTTAAAGACAATTATCATTACCACCACTACAGAGTGAACATTAATTAGTAAGACGAAATAAAATTATGGAATATGTGCTGGCAAGAGAGCTCCCTGTGTAAGAGCACTTGTCGTGAGTGGTGGTTAGAATGAGGAATGCCCCACAGGCTCAGAACTCGGTTCCCAGTGGTGGTGCTTGGGAGGTTCAGGAAGTGCTGTGGGGATCCATCACCAGGGGTGGCTGGGCTTTAACGTATTGCAGTATGGCTCTGCCTTAAAGATACCCTCACATACCTGCCACTTGATTTCTCCTGTGGATGCTCCGTACCCGCTTATGTATTCACCACTGATGAGTATTTAAATGTGTCCTTTGGGGGCTATTATACATGATGTTATTTTGGATACTCATGTACAAAATTTTCGTTGACCATATGTTTCTTTTTGTTTGTGGTGTGTGCTCTCATGTTCAGCCGTGTGTGTGTGTGTGTGTGTGTGTGTGTGTGTGTGTGTGTGTGTGTGTTTCCTTAGGATCTATCCACCTTTTTTCTCTCTTTTTCCTTTCTTTCCTTCCTTTCTTTCTTTTTGAAATAGGACCTTACTATGTAGACCAGGCTGGCCTCGAGCTCACAGAATCTGCCTGACTCTGCCTCTTGAGTGCTTGGATTAAAGACATGAGCACCAAGCATGGCCTTAAAAAACTTCTCATTCACCTGGAACTTGCCAAGTAGGTTAGGTTGCCCAGCAGCCTCAAGATCCACCTGTCTCTGTCTCCCATGTGCCAGGATTATGTACCACCATGCCCAACTTTTTTCCATGGGTGCTAGGACTCAAATCCATGTCCTTGTGTTTGCAAGACAAATACTTTACCAACTGAGTCATTTGTCTAACCCCTCACAGCTGTAATTCTCTTCGAAACTCAGTAGTGGAAACTATGGGTTGTAGAGCAATTATTGGTTTAACTTTTGAGGATCTGCCAAACTGTTTTCCACAGTGGTTGTGCCTTTTTACGTTCCTATTCATCCACAAGTTCCGATCGTTCCCCTGCCTCATTGGCATGGTTTTCAGTGTGTGGGCAGGAAACAGTCACCCAATCCAAAGTCAGGAAGATTTCCATCTGTGCTGCTTTGGGTTAAACCTTCAGTTTCACCATGGAAGTATTTGATACTGAACACATTTTTATGTGTGATGTGTGGAACAGCCCCAGACCGATTCTTTTGTTTTGTTTTATTTTAGACAGAGTCTTTCTCATGCCCATGCTGGCCTCAAACTACTGATCTTACTGACTCCACCTCCCTAGTAGAACACAGGCAGATGTCACCTTGTCAAATGCACTCTTCAGCACCTGATACCCGGTCGTTCCAGCACCATTTGCTGACAGGACTCAACACCTCACACCTTTGTCAAAAATCAGTTGGTCGTAGATATATGGATTAATTTCGGGGCTCTCAATTAAATTCTACTCCATCATGCTGTATCTAGTTAATTTTCAAAGACAAGGTCTCCCTATGTAGTTCTGGCTGTCCTGGAACGCTCTATCTATCTAGATCAGGCCGGCCTCGAACTCACAGAGATTCTCCTGCCTCAATCTCCCAAGTGCTGGGGTTAAAGGCATGCACCAACAGTGCTCTGCAAACTACATGACTTTAATTTTGTAAATCATTTCTGGAATGATTTCATTCATCTTCAAAATTTCCAAATTTTATCCATTTATTTAGTTCATTTACAATGAGTCAGAATAAATTTTCTGTGGAGAAAAAAGTTCCTAAAAATCAAGAGAGTACCTGATGAGCAATATTGTTACAATTTTAGATGGGTGTAATTTTGTGCATTGCTATAGTAATTTCTAAAGTTTCAAATTTATGAGACTTCAGAAACCCACTTCAATATTTCAGAAGAGGAAATGAAGGCAGAAATATGAGCATCACTGGATGCTTACAACATAACATAAAGCATGAATAGATACAAGAAATAATGGTTTTCTTTTTCTTTTTGGTTTTTCGAGACAGGGTTTCTCTGTATTGTTTTGGAGGCCATCCTGGAACTCGCTCTGTAGACCAGGCTGGCCTCGAACTTACAGAGATCCACCGGCCTCTGCCTCCCAAGTGCTGGGATTAAAGGCGGGCACCACCAATGCCCTGCCGTATTTATTTTTCAACTCTTCCACAGCAACTTACATACAATAAATACAGTGTATGCACAGGGTTTCCTGTGGGTCTTTTAATTGCATTACAAGGGTAACTGGTAATTTGCTGCAGGGGGACGTTTATTCTAATTTTTTTCCTCACCATCAAAGATAGCTGTTAGGGAGACCAGATATAAATAGGGATAAATAGGAAGTCTATGTTAGTTCCCAATATTTTGTTGGGTAGAACATAATTTCTTTGCCATAGTCTTACATTTTTCTTGTTAAGTATTGTTCCTCCCTCCCCCACCATTATTTTAAATTAAATAGGGTCTCACTGTGTAGCCCAGACTGGCCTCCTCAACATTACAATCCTCCTGTCTTAGCCTCCTGAATGCTGGGATTACAGATGAGTGTCACTTTGCCTGGCATCAGAAAGAGTCTATTTTGTCACCCTCTTACAGAGTTTACAATTTGGGGGAACAGCATCACACACATAAAAACTAGAAAACCCTTTGTTGCCATTCATCAATGAGAACAGCATTCATCAACGAGAAGAGGTTACCTCTCGCTACTCAAGCAGCTCCCGGGTGTCCACTGCTAGAAGTCTGTGGTGTTTCTAAATTACAGGCTCCTTTAGGAATCTATGTTCCCAAGGTCATGAGGAAAGGAGACAAGGGTGGTGCAGCCATTTCTGCCGCTTTCCGTCTCTGCGCCCCTCGGAGAGCCTCCAACAGCGCCATGGAGGGCCAGCGAAACCGGAGGTTCATCACCTCCGTGGTTGGTCGCAGCCACTATGAGGAGGGCCCGGGAAGAATTTGCCATTTTCAGTGGAAAACAAGTGGACATGATGACTGTTCGATCTGGGTTTGCTGCTGTTCTCTTTAGTGCAAGGCACCAGCTACTTAAGAAACAGGATTTCTTAGTGCATCCCTTTAACAGAATGAAGACTGTTTAAAATACGTGATCTGAAAATTGGATTAAACTCTTGAACTCTTAACCTAGATAAGATTGCAAATGAACTGATGACATTAAAAAAAAGTCTGTGTTCCCAGAGCATTTGCTCCTCGGGGCGTCATCTAATCTCCCGAGTGATTTCTTCGTAGTTCTCATCCCAATCCCACCCAAGCCCTCTCACATCCAAACATAAAAAACACGACAATGAAAACGTACAGCGCGTGCCTGCATATTAATGCTTTTGAGAGAGCGGTTTGTGGTCGCTCAGACTCTCTCATCAGGACAACCTACAATCCATGACCTCAGCAGACGGCTTCCTTGAAAGTGAGCCTCAAAGGAAGAGAGTAGAAAAATCTGTCACTGATATCCCTAACAATTCAAACGAATGAAAACACAAGGGTAGGTGCAACAAACCGTGTGATCGTCCCCATATGTTTTTCTAAGCATATAATCTGTTTCCATCCTGCTTTCAAATCAGAGACCGGCACTTAAAGATTGTCCAAAGTCCTGAAGTTCTGATGATCCCCAGTAGATGGCGCCGTTGCTATGAGGTCCTATGCTAGTTTGCATAGTTTGTATTTTTTAAAGTCATATTATTTCCCCCTACACTCTATTAAAGTGAGTATTTAAGAAGAAAAACAGGTACTTGAAGGATTGTTTTCCTAGTCACTCTCTTCAGCAGAGAAATTTCATCACATGTGACACTCCAGGAGGTTGCTATCAAAGTCCCAAAATACGAAATGCATCTCGCAAGTCATCAACTTCATACAAGGGCTGCGGAGAAAAGGAGATATAGGCTGAGTGAATGGCTTCAAATTTGAGCTGGGGGCAGGGAAAGCGTCTAAATGAAGTGGGTAGCTTGAGAGGGAAGTAAATTGGAATAAAGATCAGGAAAAAGAAGGGAGAGTTCTGGCCTGGAAGGAACCCCATCTAAGGGGAGGTCAAGAAAAGAAAGAGTTATGAAGACTCAGTGGAGAGAAGGCAAGAGGAAGTGAGGATCTACCCCGGGGAAAGGCAGAAAAGAAGGAAAACTGGGTTGTAGGAGCCCTGAAGGATTCACCATTCACAAGTGATTCAAAAAATATCTGAGAGTAAGAGGCTCCAGTCAGGGAGGGGAGGTGGGAAGGAGGAGAGAGAGAGAGAGAGAGAGAGAGAGAGAGAGAGAGAGAGAGAGAGAGAGAGAGAGAGAGAGAGAGAGAGAGAGAGAGAGAGAGAGAGAGAGAGAGGAGAGAGAGAGAGAGAGAGAGAGAGAGGAGAGAGAGAGAGAGAGAGAGAGAGAGAGAGAGAGAGAGAGAGAGAGGAGAGAGAGAGAGAGAGAGAGAGAGAGAGAGAGGAGAGAGAGAGAGAGAGAGAGAGAGAGAGGAGAGAGAGAGAGAGAGAGAGAGAGAGAGAGAGAGAGAGAGAGAGAGAGAGGAGAGAGAGAGAGAGAGAGAGAGAGAGAGAGAGAGAGAGAGAGAGAGAGAGAGAGGAGAGAGAGAGAGAGAGAGAGAGAGAGAGAGAGAGAGAGAGAGGAGAGAGAGAGAGAGAGAGAGAGAGAGAGAGAGAGAGAGAGAGAGAGAGAGAGAGAGAGAGAGAGAGAGGAGAGAGAGAGAGAGAGAGAGAGAGAGAGAGAGAGGAGAGAGAGAGAGAGAGAGAGGAGAGAGAGGAGAGAGAGAGAGAGAGAGAGGAGAGAGAGAGAGAGAGAGAGAGAGAGAGAGAGAGGAGAGAGAGAGAGAGAGAGAGAGAGAGAGAGGAGAGAGAGAGAGAGAGAGGAGAGAGAGAGAGAGAGAGAGGAGAGAGAGAGAGAGAGAGAGAGAGAGAGAGAGAGAGAGAGAGAGAGAGAGAGAGAGAGAGAGAGAGAGGAGAGAGAGGAGAGAGAGAGAGAGAGAGAGAGAGAGAGAGAGAGAGAGGAGAGAGAGAGAGAGAGAGAGAGAGAGGAGAGAGAGGAGAGAGAGAGGAGAGGAGAGAGAGGAGAGAGAGAGGAGAGAGAGATAGAGAGAGAGAGGAGGGGAAGAAGAGGGGGGAGAGAGAGGGAGGGCAGGGGAGGGGCGGGGAGGGGGGAAGCAAGGATACTCTTACCAAAAGGATGCGCCGGAGCTGTCTGGTTAGACGGACTGAATTTTCATGCAGCCCCTCCCAGGCTTTGAAAGTTCTTTCATGATTTTCTACAAATGTATTCCAGCAGTAAAAATAGTCTTAAAAGAAAAAAAAAAGTAAGAAGGAGGTGTGTGTGTGAAGGTCAGAGGTCAGAAGTCGGAAGGTTAGAAGGTCAGAGGGTAGTTCTTGAGACTGGCTTCTCTTCTTCCACCATGTGGGGCTCCGGGGATCAAACTTAAGCCATCAAGGCAAGTACCCTGTGAGCCACCCCTCCGGACCGCTTTACTGTTACTGTTACTATGATTATCACTACTATTTGTCTGCTAAGGACGGATCGCAGGGATCGGCACACGCTGGACAAGCGTGCTGTCACTGAGCGCACCCCCAGCACCCCAGCTTTTGTCCCTCAAATTCTGACCATTCTGAGAAGGGTGTATACTTGGAATTCCAGCACTCGGAAGGCAGAGGCCAGAGAGTTGCAAGTGGAGACCAGCCTGGGATAGTGAGGCCCTGCCTCAAAAAACAAAGTCATACGTTTGACATGGGAGAGGAATTGAGAGCCGTTGGGGAGCCCCCTCCCCGCCCCCAGTCTCCCGCTGACTGTCCTCCCTTGAGCTGCCTTCTCCCGTGCACAGCTCTCACCTTTGAAGGTCATGATCCCGATCTGGACCCCGGCGCGGTGCAGTCTCCGCAGCCCCTCAGGCTCAGCCTTGCGGTCCTCGCAGAAGTAGAGGCGCGCGGTGAAAATCCTCAGGCTGAGGTTGGGGTTCCATCTCAGAAACTCAGCCACGTGCCGGGCGCAGTCGTAGCAGGGGCTCCAGGAGGTGAACCAGGTGACGCGGTAACACCGTCCAGGGTCCAGATCCCAGTCCGAGATGTAACGTAGGAACAACAGCTCCACATGGCAGCCGGACTGGGGAGAGAGCGGAGAGCACTGGTCATGTGGCCGTCATTTGGGATGCTTGCGTGGCGGGCGGGGCGTGGGGTGGGGATGTCGCAACTGGCTAGCATGGAACTCCCTATGCAAACCAGACTGTTCTTGAGCTCACAGAGATACTCCTGCCTCTGCCTCTGCCTCCAGAGTGTGCACTGGGATCAAAGGCATGGGCCACGACACGCAGCATAATGTTAATTTTCTTGTTAAGAGAGCTCCTGCTGGAGCCAAACCCCTTTATGGTTCGAAGCCTTTCTTACCCATACAGGACCAAGGGTGATGAAATGAGTTGCAGTCACGGTCATTTTTATTTAATGTGCATGGACATTCTGTCTGCATGGGCCTGCTGCCCTCGGAGGCTAGGAGAGAGCATTGGGTCCCCTGGGACAGGAGTTAAAGGTTGGTTGTGAGTTGTCCTGCAGGGGATAGGAACCAAGCCCAGACCCTCCAGAAGAGCAGCAGTGCTCCTAACCACCAAGCAGCATGCCCAGCCCCCTTCTGTACTTTAGCCTCATAGCAGCTCAGAGGCTGGGGAAGGACAGGAGAGTTTGGGGACAATCTTGCCGTTGAAGAAAGGAATGACATTAGGGTGCCCAGCATTATGGGGGAGAGGACTGACACCCTTCAGACCATGCCTAATGGGGGTGGATGGAGTGTGGAAAGAACCTGAGGAGGCGGGAGGAGACATTAGTCAAATAACCCGGGAAAGTTCAGGGTGGTGGCTGCTGCCTGTAATTACAGCGTGCAGAGGCAGGAGGATTGCCAGAGATGGTCTGGTCAGCTTTGCAGGCACTTGCTTTCTCTCTGTCTCTCCTTCCCTTCCCTCCCCTTTGAAACTGTTCCACCACCAAGAAGAAGAAGAGGAAGAGGAAGAGGAAGAGGAAGAGGAAGAGGAAGAAGAAGTTGTTGATGGGAGAGTTGTCCCCTCAGCACCACACCTTGTTGCGAAGGTGGCCAAAATCCAGTGAGAAGGACGTGGCACTGTCCCTCCTCTTCACCACATAGCACAGGTAGGTCTCATGGCGACCCTTAGCCCAGCGGACATTTTTGAAATGGTAAAGAAACTTCTTTTGTTTCATCAGAAGGCTGCGAATGAGAGAAGACATTCAGGGCACAGCTCACCTGTCACCATACTCTTCCTTCAGCTTTATTGCTTAAATAATAATAAGTTAATATAATAATTAATAATAATTCCGAAACTGTCTTCTAGCTGAGGATGATGTAAACGGGTCTGCTTTTCTGATCCTGTGTTTCCAGCCTCCTGTCTCCACCTCCACGGCCCACGCGGATCTCAGACTCGGTGTGGTCAAACAGCCGTCCTCACCCCTCATTGCAGTAATCAAACTAGGTAGTCAGCCCCTCTTGGTTACGTCTTCTTCCTCAGTTTTCATATTCAATTAATCATATAAATGTGTAATTTCTGCTGGGCAGTGGTGGTGCATGACTCATTCCAGCACTTGGGATGCAGAGGCAGGTGGATATCTCAGTTCAAGGCCAGCCTGGGCTACACAGGGAGTTCCAGGACAGCCAGGGCTACACAGAGAAACACTGTCTCAAAAACAAAAAGCAAAACAAAAAATTTATGTTCTATTGGGTCTCAGAAAAAGTACGAGTTTCAACATTCTGAAAACTTGAAACTTGGGAGGGAGACACAGCCCTGGAAACTGTCTCTCTAACCTCTGACCTCCTGTCTCCTGGCTACCCCAAGAGCATCACGGAGTCGCAACTCTTCCTAAAGCAAGTCATAAAACCTGGTAAGGGCCGGGTGACGTGGCTCATGCTGTAACCTCAGTCCTCGGGAGGGTTGCTGGAGGTGTGAACCCAGCCGGGGCTCTGCAGCTGGAGTACAGCAGCTGCCTATGGTGTGTGAGTCCCCAGCACCGCAAACCAACACGACACCTAGAAAGGTCACCCTCAGCCAGGCTTGCGGGCACACAAGTCCAATTCCAGCACGTGGGCAGTGGAGGAAGAAAGAGCAGGAGCTCAAAGCCATCCCGAGCTATTGGGGAAAGAAAGGTCATTGTCTTCCTTGAAGACCCTCATTCTATGGGAGTCCTGTCCTCATCCAGGGAAAGGAATGCTGTAGTCGGGCCTTGCTGGATGTCCTCCCTTCCTCTCTAAGCACAGGGCCATACGAGGTCATGCCTACTTACATTTCTACATAGCATGCATTCTTCATTGAACAGACATATAACAAAGTTTCCTTTGTGTCTTTAAAAAACTACATTTCTTTATCACTATTCTGTGCACAATGTGTGTGTATGGTTGGAGGGCAACTTGGGGAGGTTGGCTCTCAGCTTCCATCATGTGGGTTCCAGGGATCAAACTCAAGTCACTGGTTTGGCCGCAAGCGCCTTCACCTGCTAAGCTACCTCGACAGCCCCCCACTTGGGTCTTTGTTTCTGGATTTTGTTTGGCCAGCCCTGTTGGTTTTATTTTACAGATTTCTTTCTGTTGTTTGTTTCGGGACGAGATCTCACAGAGCTCAGGCTGGTAGGGAACTTGATGGGGGTGACTCTCCTGCCTCCACTTCCCAGTGCTGGGGTGACAGGTGTCCTCCACCCACTTGATTTAAGCAGGGCTGTGCCTGCGGGCAAGTTCTCCAACTGAGCTACGTCTCCAGCCCCTCGAGGGTCTCTGTCTGTCTGTCTGTCTCTGTCTCTGTCTGTCTGTCTCTCTTTGTCTCTGTCTCTGTCTCTCTCTCTCTCTCTCAAGTCTTTGTGGGGCTAGAGAGGTGACTGGGCAGTTAAGAGCATGCACCACTCTTCAGAAGACCTGAGTTCTATTCCCAGCACCCACATCAGGTGGCTCGCAACCACCTTTCACTCCAGCTCCAGGGGGAGCCAACACCTCTGGCCTCTGAAAGCACCTGCACTAACACACACACACACACACACACACACACACACACACACACGGAGGGGGGGTTGGGACGGGGAGAGGGAAAAAGAGACTTAAAAATCTTTGTGTTGTATGCACATATGGGGGTGAGTGGGGCTACCCATGCTACTGCGCATGTGTGGAGATCAGAGACAGCCTCCCATGTCGGTCCTTGGCTTTTGTCTTGTTTTGCTTAGGTAAGACGGACTGTTCTCTGCTGTGCACCCACCCCAGACTAACTGGCTCACAAGGTTCTCCCCTCTCAACCTCCCTTCTTGCCTTAGAAGCACTGGGACTCAGGCGTCTGCTCTTGGGAAGTTAGACTTGGGTTGTCATGATTTCATGGCTCCCACAGAGCCATCTTTCCAGTCCTCAAGGTTCCGGAGGCAGAGGCAGGAAAATCTCTGTGAGTTCCAGGCCAGCCTGGTCTACAAAGCCACACAGAGAAACCCTGTCTCGAAAAGCCAAAAAAAAAAAAAGTTTCTTTAAAGAAATTAAAGTCCCTGTTAACGCCATGGACATAGTAACAGGAGCCACTAGTTAAAGCGGATGGTAAAAACCAGTGTCCCTCACTTGTAGAGACAGCACTGCCACACAGTGGTGCGGGCTGGAAGTGCAGAGAATTTGTTGGGAAAAAAAAGCTAGTTAGGAATTTGAATACGGTTTTGATGCAAGAGAATTGAAACCCTTTTCACTTTTTTGGGGTTGTCGTTGAGACGTAATTTGCATAGTAAACTCCACTCGCTTAAAATCTACAGCCCAATGAACGCTGACAGGTCCCCAGCCTAGACTGTCAGTGTGGTCAGGGCAGGTAGCATTTCCAGGCTGCTTTTGTTCCTTCATCTCTATTTGCTGTTATTTCTCCTCCTACCCAGGCAACTGCTGACCTGCTTTCTGTAAATGTAAATTATTCAAACTTTCTGTAATTTCACATAAATGACATTCCTTCTCCCTGTGTGGCTTCTCCCACTGGGCGTGGTGAAGCCGATATCCATTGAGTATTAGTAGCTGTCTCCTTTGCCCTGCTGAGTAATATTCTATTGCGTGGGTGTAGCATCTTATGCTTATTCATTCATGTGCTCATTGACCTTAGAGTATGGCCCACTTTGGTGTTGTGATGGATAGACCCACTAGGAATATTCAAGTACCATCACTGAGTATATGTAATTGACAGTTCATATTTCAATAAAGCAATACAAGTCCCTGACTTTAGGGAAAATTTTTTTTGAGATATGGTCTTGCTTTGTAACCCATGCTGACCTGGGAATCTCTATGTAGCTGCGGCAGGCCTCAAACTCATAATTCTCCTGTTTTCACCTCTAACAATAATAGCTTTATTTTGAATTAGCAATTTATTAGGCTAGTCAGCATAGTAGCTCCATGTCTACTGTTCATCACTAGCATATAAAACCCCTTAGCAGCTGGGCATGGTGGTCCACACCTTTAATTCCAGAATTCGGGGAGGCAGAGGCAGGTGGATCTTGTATGTAGGAGGCTAGCCTGGTTTACATGGAAAAGTCTAAGCCAGCCAGGCTTTGTAGTGAGACCCTGTCTCAAAACAACAATAACAACAGCAACAAACACAGCATGCTAAGCTCAGCATACACCAAGAAGCACAGGCAGAACCATGCGAATCGCTCAAATCCAGCCAGTTTTAAACAGTGTGAGCATCATCTCTTAGCGATAAACCCCCTTTATAGTTAACTAAACTTTCTGTGCTATCTAGACAGAAAAAGTGGGAAAATCTTTTCAGTGGATTGAACCTGATGCTTGTACATGTTAGTGAGCACTGTGCCACAGAGTCATACTCACAGCCCTGGAAAACTCATTTTTCTACGTACTGTGGGTAGCATGTGTTTGTATGCAAGTCTGTGGGCGTCTGTGTATATTTATGTGTGTGTGTTGTGGGGCTGCTATTATGAAGAATGAGAGTTAGCCTGGGAATTTAGAATAAAAGGGTGTGCCACAAGTAAAACAATTACATCCAGCCCACAGGAAGATATACTAGGCCATTTCTGTTTTACGATTGCAGCCACAGTGAGCGGAGCCTCACACCCTGACCTGTTGATCGGGTGCCTTGATCCATCACTTCCCTCAGCTCTACCTGGGAGCCTCTTCTCGGGGTGTCCCTCCCAGGTAGGGGGGACATTGCCAGGTAGTTTTTCAGGCCTGAAGATTGACAGCTGCTAAGACAGCTGTGCTCCTTGAGGCAGAACATTCGCTGCTTCCCCCAGCGATGCAAACCAAAGATAAAGGGTTAAAAATAAGCCCAGTAGAGTCAGCTGCAGCGCTGCCACCGCTGATGGCTCTACAGACGGGCTCTTCCAGAGGAGTTCACACTGCCCTCCGCTCCGTTCAGTGCCAGCTCTCCGCTTTCTTGTTTGTTTTCTCTGACTTCCAATCTTGCCTTTGTTTTTGCATTTTGCTGTGTGCACAGGTTTCTCTCAGACACTTCCCCATCAGGGCCCAGACTTCAGGTTTGCTTTCAAAATCTTACTGTAAACTCACGAAGTAGTTGATACTGTCTACGCCTTGGACACACTTTTCTTTGAGGGCTGGGGATATAGCTCAGTGGTAGAACACTTGTCTAGCCTGGGCAAGGCTCTCAGTGTGGCCCCTAATAGGGACGAGGCAGAGTGGAAGGAGGAGGAGGGAGAAGAGAAAGGAAATAAAAAATAAAACAGGAAGAAAAGAAAGGGAAAATTGGAATCTGAAGAGCATCCACACTATCACTAAGTATATTAATTATATATTCTAAATCTCATAACCAAAATGGAATTGAGCTCAAGTGTATGGGTTAGACACGACTCTCACATACTGGCAGCTAATGTAGGAAAATGAGAGAGAGACCTCTGATAATGACTCATCATGAGCTGCAAATAAGAGCCCCGAAAAGCTTTCAAGAAGTTAAGACATCTCTGCACAGATTAATTAAGCAGTAAAAATGCCACTAAGTGCCTAGTAGTTGAGCCCATAACACTAAATCGCCTGTTTTAATGCAATTCTCTCCTTACCATAGATGCCACCGTAATGAGTTGCAAGCAGTCATCTCAAATGCTTGCTATTTTTAAGAAGCACAAATTTCCTCACTATAGCCAAATAACTCCAGTAAAGACTCCCCACACGAGTCTTAAAACGTTGACTATTCACCCAACAATTATGAAAATAACCACTCCTGTTTTTAGTAAGGTGTTCACGACCTCCTCGTGCTGAGTCCCTAAGGGTTCACTGCTACTGCCGTGAACCAGCTCCAGCACCGTCCAGATCTCAGGACGAGCCAGGACTTCCTGCCTCCAGGATAGGAAAAGTGCACAGTGACAGACAGGCAAAGCCTGCCATCCAGACAGACAGCCAGCAAGACGGGAGCGCGCGCACGCGCGCGCGCGCGCACACACACACACACACACACACACACGCGAGCGCACACACACACACACACACACGCGAGCGCACACACACACACACACACACACACACACACACACACACACACACACACACACACACACACTGGTTACCTGTCCATCTCCATATCCAGCTTGACGATTTTGATTCCCTCCAAGTCTTAGGCCAAAGGAAGCTTGCTTCAAGCGAGGCTGCTTCAGTGCCGCTGTGTGACAGAGCACTGGCCCCTGGCATTCAAATCTGAGCTCACCCGCGTGGGCTCCTCCCCCCGACAGTATCACTACCACCAGGTATCCAACATTTGCCTCCTGGGTTGGTCCAGTAGAGATGGGCGGGCCTGTGGGTTACATGCTTCCTTTGAGACTGTCCCTCTGAAAAGTCAGCCCAGGCACGACACTATGTAGCCCTTGGCTGGCCTGGAATACCTTTTTTATTTTTTTTACAAAGTTGTGTCATCTGGGCAGGTGTAATGGATCGTGAATGAATGCCCCTGTTGCCAAGCCTGGCTGCTTGATTTGGATCCCCAGGAAGATGCACCTGGTGGAAAGGAAGACGAACTCTTACAAATTGTCCTCTGACTTCCACACACGAGCGATGGCACTTGTGCCCCACACACCCCTGCACCACCAAACTGGACAAAAACACACAAATGAATGTTTTTAATGTAAAGAAATGACAGCATAAATGACAATGAAGCTGGTCCTCTGGGAGGATGCGCGCCATGTTTTCTCAGTATGTCATTCCCTGGACCAATGGTAGAAAGCAAGGCAAAGGCCCAAGCAAGTCTCATCTGATGAGAGAAGCTCAGGAGACTGAATTTCAAATGTCTCCCTGTCACCAGGGTTCCCTCAAACCCGCAAGGTCACAGGCACTGCTGTCCACTGCTGGTGCTCTGAATCTTTTTCTCAGGGATTCACTAGTTCATCAGTGGGAGAAATGTGTCTCTTAAAGTGATAGGTGATAACTAGAAAAATGAATTAGTAGTAGGAAGGAGTAGGATGGAGGCCATTAACATTTCAAATATGGTATTCAGGAAAGTCTCATCTGCCAGGGAGTGTTTGAACAAAGACATGGAATAAGTGAGGGATTAAACTGTAAGATTGTGCAGGGAGAGATTTTATTGTGGGCAACATCCAGAGGTGTAGGGGCAGAGGTGTGGGCTATGTGTATTCAATGGGATCCAATCTCTGTGAGTTCAAGGCTGGCCTGGTCTAGATGGAAAGTGGCAGAGCATCCAGAGCTATATAATGAGACTCTGTCAGAGGGAAGGGAGGGAGGGAGGGGGGAGGGAGGAGGGAGGGAGAGGGAGGAGGGAGGGAGGGAGGGAGGGAGGGAGAGAGGGAGGGAGGGGGGAGGGGGGATGGAGGGGGGAGAGAGGGAGAGAGGGAGGGAGGGAGGGAGGGGGAGGGAGGGAGAGAGGAAAGGAAAAGGGAGAGGAAAGGAAAGAGAAGAAAGGAGAAAGCATCTGTTGCTTTTCCAGATGTCTGGGGGTCTGATTCTTTGCACCCACATGGTGGCTCACAACCACCTGTTGGGAACTGAACCTGGGTCCTCTGCAATAGGTACAAGGGCTCCTAACTGTGGCCCCCAGCAAGGTCCTCCGCTTACCATGACCAGTAACAATTTGCAACCAACCCTCCTAAATGATGACAAAAATTAATAAAACACCAAATGCTCAAAACCTACCTATCCCACCTCTTAGAAATGTGGGCAGTTGAGTTCGAGGCCAGCCTGGTCTACAAAGTGAGTTCCAGGACATCCTCCAAAGCTACAGAGAAACCCTGTCTCGAAAAACCAAAAAAAAAAAGAAAAAGAAAAAAAGAAATGTGGGCAGTCTTCTCTAGACTGCTTCCTGTTGTCTGGGGGTGCAAAGGCATTGTTAGGGGACCCTGAGAAAATTGGGGTGGTCAAGTCCTGGGAGAACTAGCTGTATTATTTTTTGTTTAGTCTCTGTGTGATGGGAAAGTGTAGAGCTTATCTGAAGTCCTGGCTGCATAGAATGTGACACTGGACCATCTTAGCAGCTTTGAAGTTGTTCTGGGTGCAGAATTTTGAGGAAACTGCAACAGAGGCATTCTGAGAGGCTGGATCACCTGGTACTTGTCTTTATTGGTATCTGGTCCTTTTTTTTGAAAACACATAAACTTTGAAAGTAACATCTGTATCTGTATTAGCAAAAGTATAGAATGTGAGGTGTGTACAAGTCAGCTAAAAGTGAGTTTTTTGCTTTATTTTTGAACAGGTATAAGGCATCCATCAACTTTATGAATCCTTTCAGATTGTATAATCAAACCTCTGTCTATGCAATATGAAAGGATGGCATATAATAAATCATCAGGACTCTGTAGCCAACAAGATTTATCTTGTCTCATCGAGTCTTGGAGCTATTCCCATAGCAGACGGATCAGCATATATGTCACCTGCCCTGTAGTCTTTCTTGGTTTCTTTTCTCATGTCTGTAGTCAAGATTTTCAGGAGGTCTCCCCTAATCAAATCTGATGTTTATTACTTTTGAAGAGAATTATAACTTTTTGTTTCCTGCAGAATCAAAGGCATAACCTCTCCTCCAATGCAACTGCTGTGGGATGTTTGTACACTGTGTGAAGATATATTGCCATGATTGGTTTAATAAAGAGCTAAATAGCCAATAGCTAAGCAAGAGGTATAGGCAGGACCTCTGGGCAGAGAGGGGAAGTAGGAGTTGGTGATCAAGGCCTGAGAGAGGCATGGAGACATGGAATCAGCTGTACACACTGAATGGTGTGAGAGAGGTGAAATCCATGTGGTAGTGTGCAAATTAATAAAAACATGGGTTGATTTAAGTTATAAGAGCTGGTGGGAAAAGCCTAAGCTAATGGCCAAGCTTTCATAATTAATGTTATTATTTGGGAGCTGGTGGCCCAAAGGAAAGTCTGACTGCACATGGCACCCAACGTGGTCCTTGGGCCCTAGCAACCTCTCACCTACTTCCTGTCTCTCTCTTCCTGTCCCTCTCTCTCTCTCTCTCTCTCTCTCTCTCTCTCTCTCTCTCTCTCTCTCTCTCTCTCTCTGTCTCTCTCTCTGTGTATGTGTGTGTGCTTGTGCTTTGTTTTCAAGAAGGATTCCCTATGTCCCAAATTGTCCTTGCACTTGCAGTGTGACTAGCTGTTTTTATACAATGTCTTCTAGAGTCCCACGTTAGACCAAGTATCAGAATTTCTTCTTTGCCGTGTTTTGCTGATACTTTCGCCTCCTGATGAACACTTGAGCTGTTGCTATCTTTGCCTACTGTGGATGGAGGAACATCCGTTGGGCAGAGCTGCCAGTTCTCTAGGATGCATACCTAGCCACCAACCACACTTTGCTCTTTTCTGTTCTTTTGATGCTGGGCATTGAATTCAGGTCCTTGCATGGGTTTGTGTTGTCCTTTTATTTTCACGTTATTTTTTTCAGATAAAATTGCATATACTTAAAGGGTATAGTATTTTATATTTATTTACGTACAGAAGTGGTTGCTACAGTCAAGCTGATGAACATGTTGGTTTCCTCACAAGGCATCTTTCCTGTGTCACGCAGTGAGAGCTTTTGCAGACTCTGTCAGCAAGTTCCCATCATGGGATGTGGTGTTAGTATGTCACCTCACACACTAGGTCTTTGGACTGTTCATCCTATGCAACTGCAACTTTGTGGGGGTTTTGGTGCTGTTTATCTTTTTGCTTGTTTGTTTTCAAGACAGGGTTTCTTTGGGTGACCTTGACTATCCTAGAACTCACTCCGGAAATTAGGCTGGCCTTGAACTCACAGAGATCTGCCTGCCTCTGCCTCCCCAGTGCTGGGATTAAACGCGAATGCCATCATCCCCTGATTCATGGTTTTCTTATTTTTTTTTTTGAGGGTCTCATTATATAGTCTTGTCTGGCCTCAAACCCACGGTGGTCTGCCATACTCTGCCTCCTGGAATGGCATATTCTTTATCCAGCGACCCCACCCCAACCCCCACCAACCGCTTGCAGACGATATTCTACTGTTTGCTTCTCTCTATTGACTTTTTTTTTTTTTTGGGTATTTATGAGACAGGGTTTCTCTGTATTGTTTTGGAGGCTGTCGGTCCAACCTGGCCTCGAACTCACAGAGATCCGCCTGCCTCTACCTCCTGAGTGCTGGGATTAAAGGCATGCGCCACCACCGCCCGGCTCTCTATTGACATTTAAGATTCCATATAGAAGTGAGATTATCCATCTTGTTTTGTTTTGTCTTTCTGTATCTTTCTTAGTTTCTTCAGCCAACTGTTTTCCAGACCATTGTGTCACATGACAGGACCTCCTTTATTTATTATTATCATCTAAAATTTTGCAGTGCTGGGAAATCAATCCCCAGGCCTTTGTGCTTGTCAGAAAAGTGTTCTACCACTGAGCCGCTGCATGACAATATTGTGCCGATGCCTTCATGGGTGTGCGTTGATGGGGTGCACTGTGCTCGTCAGGCAGTGGCTGATGCGATGTTTAAACAGCAGTATTAAGGAACAAAAAGGCATTTCAAAGACAAAAATCAAGGACCTAGGGCATTGGGAAGCTCAAGGAGCTAAGCTCTAAGTTTCCAACATGGGGTGTGTGTATGTGAGGTTGGCCGCAGTCAGAGCCCAGTGAGTACAGGATATTGTGCTCTGCCTTCCGTCAGCCCTCGGCAGCAAGGAAGACATTGCTTTTTTTTTTTTTAACGTATATAGTGATTAATCCTTCTCGCTCTCTCTTTTCTTTTTATTTTTTCTTCTCTCACACAATACATCCTAACCATAGCCTCCACTCTTTCCTCTCCCCCAGATTGTTTGGGGACCTGGAATGTATTTCTGTGGCAGAGCTTTTCTCTAGCAGATAGGAGGCCCTGGATTCAATGTGTGTGCACACGCACACACAAACACACACATGTATACACACACACGTGCGCACACATGTTCACACACACTCGGATTTGGGGTTGGGCGAGATGAGTCGGCAGGAAAAAGCACTTGATGTGCAAGCATGGCAGCCTGAACTCCATCCCCAAGTGCATGTGGAGACAAGGGATGTGGGACATGCACCTGTAACCGCAGCACTCCATTCCACACAGAGACAGGAGGTGGAGACAAGAGAGTCGCTCCAAGCTCTCAGGCTAAGCCATCTGGACCACCAAGTAAAGCAGAAACAGGACAGACCCTGACTCAACAAGGTGGAAAGATATAACT